TTTAAGGCCGTAGCATTGTCGTTTCAGGGTGGCCCTAATTTTTATTTTTTATTCATTTTTTTCAGGAGAGCTGGCGAATTTTGTAACTATGTGTGGTGCTTTGTTTTCGGTTGGTGTCATTTAGTTTGTGTCTTTTTTGTTAGTTTCACGTTTTCTTGGAACTATTTACTCTTGTCTTTTTTTTAAGGGTTTGGCATTGTGGGTTTTTTTTTTTGTCATGTTTTGATTCAGTCCGTTCGTGTTGGTATGACGTGTAGCTTTTCGTTCGTGTCCTAGAATGTGAGGTATTTTCTTGGTTTTTTTTTTTGGAAAATAATTATTTTGGCGGTTTTTTTTTCTGATATGGGTGTGCTGGTTTTTTTTTTTAAGGGGAGTCATTAGGTACAAGGGTGAGGATGGGGGTACTCGCTTTTTTGAAAAAAAGGTTTTTTAAGGGTTGGTAAGGGAAGTGTTTTGCGTTGTGGTCGTCAGGTAAAGGGGTGGGACTGGGGTTATTCGTTTTTATGTGTTGTACCAGGTTTTCTATGTGGTCGTTAGGTAAGGGGGTGGGGATGGGGGTGCTCATTTTTACTTCTTTGTTCGGGGGGTCAAAGGAAGGGCTTTGTCGTCTAAAACTTTCAGACTGTTTGAAAATTGGGTATGTTTCTTTTTTGTGATATATATTTGTATATATATATATATATTTGTATATACAGTTCTATTTGACGATATATATATGTATATATGTTCTTTTTTGTTTGGTGTTTTAGTGAGTATGTGTGTGTGTGTGTGTGTGTGTGTGTGTGTGTGTGTGCGCGCGCGCGTGGTGGATGGCGGGGGGGTGGGGCGACCCCTCCCCCACCACTCAATCAATCAATCAACGGAAAAAGAAAAACATAATCGAATGAATCTTCCGATAGAACATGAAAATATACAATACTTCGTGTGTGTGTGTGTGTGTGGGCCTGTTGGGGGTGGGGGGGCGACCCCGCCGCCACCAATCAATCAATCAGTCAATCAATCAATCAGTCAATCAGTCAATCAATCAGTCAATCAATCAATCAATCAATCAATTAATCAATCAATCAATCAATAAATCAACAAGAAAAAAAAATGAAAAAAAACGCGTTGTTTTTTTTTGTTTTTCTTTTTCAATTTACTTCTCTCACGACCAAACCCCCTCCCACCCAAAAAATTATTTTTTTGATTTTTTTTTTGCCTGAGGGGGTGGGGCTGGGGTTGCGCCGCCCCATGGCGCTTCCTGAATCCCCAACCCCCCTCCCCATCGGCCGCCACGCGTCCGCGAAGTCGCGCGGCCGCGTGGACGTGTCCGTGGGGTCGCGGACTCGGCCGCACTTGTCCACCGCCGAGGGGGATTCATAGATCGAGGGACACCCCACGAGTCCACCGGCCTGTCCCCCTTCCAATTACAGACCAATAGTGTGGCATGTGTAGCCCTACCGAGCCTAAATGATGAAACGACCTTGGGACAACGGCCCACGAAGGACATGGCCCGAGAAAAAGCCAAACAGCACTTGGAACTGATGGAGCGGTCCCTCCCCCGGTTGGCACGGAAGCGCCAACGAATGACAGAACTGGATCACGGACGACAGGTCCTTAGCTACGAGGCCTGAAATGGGAATGCTGGGCCCCGACCCCAATATAAATTAGGGAACATCGTGCAGGTGAGGAAATGTGCTCGCCAAGGCAAGTTAGCGCCACGATTCGGGCGATTTCCTGTAGCCAAGCTCAGCCCGAGCGAAGTGAACACGGTGCGGCTCGCGCTGGAGGTGTAAGGCAGTCGATCGCATCGTCCGATCATCCGCCACTTGTCTTACCTACATCCTCTTCCTACCTCCCCCTCTCCATCCCCGTCTGCATTCTCCTTTGATACCGAGGAGGACGGCGACAAACTAGAGTCCTCCTTTCTCTCACAACCATCGTCTTCGATTCCGCCTCTATTGCCATGAGCTTTTCGACGGAGCAGGTGATCAGCTAGCATCAAATGGTACTGGGGGGGGTTTCTCTGCAATCCGGCAAGTACATCATCCTCGATTGAGTCCAGATCTTCCCCGATTCTCGGCCTTCTTAAGTACGACGGCCATTCACGCCGCGGCGGAGTTCCGATTGGCGTAGTCTGGGGATGCACGAGTATTGGTTGAGATGTCGACCTTCTTACGCCTGTCCCCACCCGGCGAGAGCCACGTGTCGATCATTGCCGTCTTTACAGGCAACATCACGACACTGCATCCAGCACGGCACACCGCCATCCTCCGACAGCTACGAGACTGGGCAGCACACATCACGACTGAGTGGGTGCGATTACTGGCTCGACCGCGCGATCGTGTCGTAACATCCAACGATATCGATCTTCAGCTTTGGGTTTCCTCCATCACGCCAGAGGTCGTCCTCCCGGAACTTCGTCCTTTTGCCCGACCAGGCCGACCTCAATGAATTGCCACCGCCTCTCTACCTTCAGCCTTCCCTCCAACATTCCTACGTTTTGGCAGTGTGCGGTGGACCCCGCTCTATAGTTCAGAATTAGGCAATTGGACGTGCCGATTCAAGACGCAGCCAAGTGGACGCAGTGGTGGCACGCTTACGTGGGTCTCCTCGTAGTCGTTTTCATTGGGCGGAACCCGCTGACAGGAGTGAGGAGGACGAGATCCCGGACGACGAGCCGGAGTGGTGAGCTTTTGGGAATCTTGTTTGGAGAAGTGCGGGACGGCCACCTGGATTTGATCACGGACGAGCTGTAGGTATTCCTGGCCCAATTACTGGACGATCTGCCTTTGGAGATACTTTCGCGGTGCGATGAAAGACCGGGGACGGACATGCTCACTCGTACCTTGGCCCCCCATCTTGTGTGGTCTGCGTGCACAGAGCTCGACGGGGACCATTGTTGTATTCCCTCCGAAGGCGCTTACCTGGTCATCAACGTCACTGATCTCTCCTTCTGGGATCCTCTCATCCGGTGAGTGAACGTAGGAGAAACCAGCTAGGAAGCCGAAGAAGAGGAAGAGGCCGAGGAGGAGATCGAGGGGGGCGATCATCTTCAGTATACGGAAGGAGAGGAGACCTCAGAAGAGGAAGAATTGGAGGCTGACTCGGACGATCCCGATTATCAAGAATCACGGGACGCCGAGTCTGAAGAAGCCAACTCGGACAAAGAGGAGTCGGAGGAGGAAGAGGGTGAATCATGTGAATCGAGTGGCCCTAACGAACTGAGCAGGGAAGAGCAAGAGGCCGTGGCACAGAGGAAAGGCTTGGAGCTATGAATCCCCCTCGGCGGCGGACAAGCGCAGCCGAGTCCGCGACCCAGCGGACGCGTACGCGTCCGCGTGGCCGCGCGACTTCGCGGACGCATGACGGCCGCTGGGGAGGGGGGTTGGGGATTCGGGAAGCGCCATGGGGCGGCGCAACCCCAGCCCCACCCCCTCGAGCAAAAAAAAATAAAAATAAAAACAATTTTTGTGTGGGAGGGTTTGGGTGAGTGAAGGTATTTCGAAAAAAACAAAAACAAAAAAAAACAGCGCTTTTTTTTTTTTTTTTTTCGTTG